CGCCTTCTATCCTTTTAATTTTTCAACAAGCCCGCGAACGTTCTTTTCTAAATGAGCTTTCCGTCGAGGAGAGTTTCCAGATCGAATAAGTCTCATTGTATTTTTGCCGGGGAAATCAGAATGCTTGAAGGAGCGAGTGGATTTTCGGCGAAATTAAGATTTCCTATCGATTCGATATCCCGTTCGAAAGTCGCGCAGCTGGCGAATGAATTCTTAAACTCACGTCAAACAACCTCAAAGTTGATCGGCTGGTCGACAGGATTTTATTAACGTCCGAAAAGGAAGGGCCCGGATTCATGATTTACAGGCGGTAATATTGCGAAGCGTCGATCTCCATGGCGCGTCTAAATATAGGAGACTAATGGAATTGAGATAAATTCAACGAGTTGGCAAACATCGTGGGACTCGAGTTGTCCACGTGGCCCCGTGTGGTCGTTGCTTTCATGGTCGTCGGAAGATAACGACATGAAAGGGGACAACTTCACCCCGACATGCGTGAAAGGGTCGTGGGTATCTTGCTTAAAGGGCATGCAGGCGACGGCTGGTCGTTAACGCGCAAACTTCTTCAGAGAATAAGGCTTTGTTATTCGCGAAACGTCCAGTGGTACTATCTTTTAACGACAGGTTTCTTGAGAAATATCAAGTTGACTTTACTTTCGGCGAGAGTACGGAACTACCCAGATGGTGGAAATAACGCAGATTACGTTACACACTCGCCTGTAGAACTTGATGCGCGAACAGTTTAGGGTTAGATGTCCCATATTTCAGAAGTTCGAAGTTACAGACAACTCAGTTCTCAGACAACTAATTACTGCGCCTGACAGTATAGACATGATAGAGGTAGCCTTGTTCTATGTGTTAATGTCATGATCCTGTTAACTGTAAATTTTGTTCCGTAATAACCAAAAGATATACAAACATGCAGCAACGTGGCCATTTGGCTTCAGTACCGGATTTATTTGTCCAATAGCGCAGGATAAGAAGGCCACATATAAAATATGTACCTTGATTCGTCGATCCGGGATCTTCGCGAAAGGTCTCTACAGCTCTTCTATTTCTTATTGTAGCAGGCATTAACACATAAAATAAAGTTACCATGTACCATGTCTAGACGCAATAATTAGTTGTCTGAGAACTGAGTTGTCTGTAACTTTGGCCCTTAATTATAAATTCTGGTCCTTAATTATAAGTCAACTTTACCTCATATGCTTGGTTTCAATCATTTTACGAATGTAAATTGCCTTCGTCCACCATGGAGAATATTAATGCAAAATTTCTCGAGAGATTCGGAAATTTACTTTGCTACTATTAAATTAGTTTCTCCTATTTTTCAATTGTAATATTATGCCGACGTTAATGAAACTCAGGGAAATTTGATGAAATAGGATATTTATGTTCTAAAAGGATCCTTTCGCAAGTTTGTACTCATTGTTCCTTGCAAAATAAGTACTATATAAACAAAAGGACATGCACAGTATACTCTTGGCACCATCTGGCTCCAGTCTTCTCCCTACAATTCAGAATCTCGGATAATTTCGCAACTTGGCTGTTTAATTTTTAGCAAAGCGAAAGTTGCCTTCAGATTTGCCAATGAGTACGTTTGCTGCAGCTCGACAGGAACTTTGCGAGACATCCTGTTTACGACACTCGTTGCCTTTCGGTGTCTACATGACATCGTGACTCGTTACGTAAAGGGAAACTTTTGCGGGGGCTGGCTTTATGAATCCGCGGCAAGAAGTTTGTCAAACGGGAACAAGGTTGTCGTCCGCCGCGTTCCACATTACGAATTTCTCCTATTTCATCAGTTTTACTTAGAGCTCGGTTTTTGCGGGCGGACAGTGGAGTCGAGCTTCCATCAATCCTCCGGTTTACGATGGTCTTGGAAATGCCAGCACTTATGAGCAGAGAAGGGCTTCTATTGGAGGCAACGCAGGGTAGTCTCTCGCTTTCTCTTGAGAGAAAGAGAGAGAGCGAGAGAGAGGGAGAAAACGATAGAAGGATCTGCATGGAACGTTTGCGATGGACAGGTCGGTCGTTTTGCATCGAACCGAGGTAGAAGCGAAACGCGATGACGTCGAATTCCCCGTCGTTCCATTTTCTTGCGCGGGGATCAACGCACTTTTGCGACAAGGCTGCGGAACGTTGTTTACGAGTGGTTCTCGCTGCGCGCGCGGCCTGTTTGTCAGACTGTAAATCCACCCATGTACGAGGAGTGATTAATCGGCTGACTAACTGCACAAAGGGCGAATTGGTAACGGAAAGACTACCCGTCCTTTCCCATCGCGCGCGTTTTCGACTTTCGAATTTCTTCAGCGTTACAAGTCGAGCTTGTAAGAAGTTCCTGACAAGAACGCGGATACCGTTCTCCGTTCGCGGAAGACGCATGCGCGTCGTTCGTAAACGAACACAAAACATCTTGCTACGAAAGCTCATTTTCGCCGTTCGAGAGGTAGAATCCTCGCTGAGATATAAGAAATTCCCTCGAAATACTAGGAAACGGAAGAGGTAATAAAGTAGTAAGTCAACTTTTTAGGATCCGGGCATCGATCTTGTGTGTTCGGGTAAAATTTTTTTCTTCTTATAAAATAGTCTTAAAAGATGCTCCTGATGAAAAGTTTTGTAATCCAAATAAAATTAACCATTAAGAAGTATGATCTTCTGGAAGTACATTATTATGTACATTCATGTTTAAACGAGTATCCTACAGCTATGGAATTATATTAATATTTAGTTTTTATTTATTTATTTTATTTATATTTATATATTATTAACTTTTGTTTTATTTATATTTTGTTATTATATTTGTTATTACATTTTGTTTTATTTATATTTATATATTATTAACTTATTTATTTACTTATTAAGAAATTAATTAATTAGTAAATCTTACAACCACGATAGCGAATATAAAAACGCCAATCTTGTATTTTGATGACACCGGAAGAAAATTGAGAAAACAGAGTTTGCTTTCTTTTTTGTGGAAAACTTTCACGATTTCAAGCGTTAATGATTCTGCTCTGCGCACAATCGCTCATATTGATTTTTTCCACGGGTAAATTATTGTTTCACAGGTCGGGACAAAGAATATAATAGCTCCATCGATAACATTATAACGGCGGAATCATTGCTTCGCTAATATAAAACATTTGAGGAGGAGCCACAATTTTTTAAGGTATTATACATTATGTATCTTAAAGGATCAAAGCTCTTTATTGCGATAAGAGTAACGTAAGCAATGAAATTTGAAGTCAATAACGATATAAGGATAGGAATATAGAATGTGTTAATGCTGTTATCGTGAAGCCGTTAATACGAACGAGGGAGGACGGCTATGGCTAGAGAGATGAAGGTGATCACACCCTCAATCAGTCTCCGTGCGACCTTATTGGAACTCCGATCGACACGCGGGAAGGTTCGAACGAAGACGGTGCGAGTCCTAAATCGAGGAGAATCGCGAGAAATTGGGGAGGAAGGAGGAGACGGGGGTGGAGGAGAATGAGGGTTTATCGATCTTGCAAGCTTGGAAGGTCTGATGGCAGGAAGAGGCTTCTCTCTCTCTCTCTCTCTCTCTCTCTCTCTCTCTCTCGTCGTTTCTGTTCGCAGCAGCGCGCAGGAGGGTTACCGAGAATTTCTCGCGGTAAGAAACGACGGCCGCGAGATCTCCCTTTTTGCCGGTTTCTATTTGCCGGAGAAGTCACGATTCGCCGAATAAAGCCGGTTTATATTGCGGGCGCCGCAGCTGCGCGCTTAGCAGAACGAAAAGAAGAGGCGGACCTTCTTCTCGTGCATGTCTCGTTCTTTTTACGGATGTAAGACCTCAAGACTCTCTCGTGCATATTTTACGGGCCCGTCGTCGCGTAATTTAATCGTCGGCACCGCCGGCTGCGACACCGGGCCACCATGTTTAATCGTCGACACACTTGCTTCCGATTACTCCTCGCTTCACTTAGACAAATTGCGTGCGGTGTGCGAATTTTTCAATTCCCCGCGTGACTGCAATGTGAGTATCGATCATTCGGGAGTATTTCGCTCTCTTGCACGCGCGCGACATACAGATAACGCTTTGCAAACGCTTTGAAGCGCTTAAGGAAAAACCACGATTACCGCTGTACGACGCTTCAAAGCATTTGTAGCGTGTAACAGATCGCACCCTGTAACACACATTAAGTACACTGGCGCCAAGTGCCATAATTATCTCCAAGAGAGGGATTCTCCAGTAATCTTTTCTTCTCTTTTGCGCGGCTCCCAATATAATACAGAATTTACGACGTCAGTTCCTTCACGGATCCCTCTTTTCCAGCTTCCCTTCCAGGTTTCAATGTGCGAGGGAAGTCTTTTATGTGAGCGCGCCGAACATTCTGTAACCGGTACTTTTTCTCCCCATAAGAGCTGCGAAACTCGCGCGCGCAGGCTGACGTAACGTATGGATCCGTTTGCCCACTCACGGATACGGGGGACAGCAGTAATGCTGTTTGTTCGTTGGGGAAAACATTGGGGAAAACATTGGGGTGTCATATTTTTTTATCGACCACGATTCGTTCGCGTCACCGTCAGGTATAACGTCCAAGTTTTCTTTCGTCGGGTCCTCGCGCCGATCGCGCCCTATCTCGCTGCTCTTGGCGGCCATCGCCGTCCTGGGCAAACTTCATTTGCCGGAAGCAAGAAGTACTCTTTACGAGCCATCTTGAGGGCCCACAGATCGATAATGAGATTGGTCGGAGGCTAACCGAACGGCGTTATGATAAGATTATGGTAATTCCATATTGCGAAACGGAATTATCCGCCGCGCACGCGAAGGAAGGAAAAAGAAAGAGGTAGAGATAATACGAACCCCTCCCCCTCACATTGTTGTACACAACTTTCTGACAGTCGGAATATTATTTCGACGCTTCAACTTTTTCCGTATTGTGTTTTATTATATTTCTATTTTGTATCAATTTTCAACTATTGTTTTGAAAATACGAATATTCGAATCTAGTCTGGAACTGTTTCTGTTTCAGTTTTCAGCCGAGGGCGATCATGACAGGAACATACCGGAGATCGGTGAGTACAGGTAGAGTGAACAATGCTTTCTATTGATTTCGCTGTTGCCTTTCATCCTCGTTGCCAACGATCTTTGACTTCTTCGCGGAGTCATTATTGCTCCGAAACCATCCTGGGAATTTTGTTCAGTTGCATGCACGCGAATTGTTTCGCGACATTGTTGAGCAAGCCGTGAACTTTATTTGGATTATCTATCGATCGAATTAGCAGCATGAAAGGAAAGAAAATTAGAGTTATACCAGACGACATATTTAATTATACTGAGGAACGCAATTGGAATATAATCAGTACACGAGTTAATTAAACAAACAAACACAGCGGCACGAATTCGCTCGATAAGCTAATCTTGTTGATGATGTAATGGGAAGGCCAATGAGATTTTGTCGCAACACAAGCACATTTAACGTATAATTTGAAAATATCGCTTGTCGGCTTATCGTATCGCCGATAACCGGTTGGGATATCTAAAGCAGTGTTGTATGCATATTTCGTGATTACCACCGTATTAATCAGCGCAATTAATCTCCATAAATTTTTCGTTCGTCGCGCAGCGAGCGCGCAATAAGTTCCAGGAGCCGTATTCTTGACGCGCATTCGAGCGTTAAGTACGTCTATCTGATTATCATATTAAACAATCTTGTATGGGGCATTCTCTATAAGAAAAACGGAACTTAGAATAAAAAGGGCGGTTGAAATGCGTCAAGAATACGATCCGAGGCGCGTCCATTCCAGAAACGTTTTGCTAGTCCAGACAGAATTCTAAATGTCACGGTTGAAATTCACTGCCGTTTTTTGTATGTGCTAGAAGATTGTCTGCGATACGTAGAACTTACTACAGCAGCAGTATTCCAGCAATATCTGCAGGCAAATTTAGATGTGTGAGGATTGTGCATTCGTTTGTCTCTCGTCGCTGGTCTTTCTCGTTTATCACAGTCACTCTTAAAAGAAGTATGATTGGGCTTAATCTCTGGATGACCATCGCAGAGAGATTATTTCGCGTTGAATTTTACAAATAGAAATTCAGGTGGAAATTCTATCATCTGTCTACATCTCGATTTTATACAAAACAATGCGATATCGTAGTTATTTATCCATTTTAGATAATCTCTTGTATTTAGATAATTCCGACTTGAATGATTTGAATAATTTTCGCAAGAGCACTTTTTTATGCATCAACCCGAGTCGAAATTTTGACCCTATGTTGAACCTTGAATTCTACACCGCAGTAGGAGCTAAGATAGTAAAGTAGGTTTAATTCTAATGATATAATTTATTCCTACTTTGACCCTGATAATGTCTGAAATTTCCGCTTTCGCTTTCTTTAACGTCAGAGTAAGTTGTGTAATAGTAGGATCTTAGGGAGCAAAGTAGGTTTAGTTGCAAACCTCTATTGAAGTTTTAGCTCTTACATAGAATATATGTATTTTATAGAAATATTTAAAAAATTTAATAAGTAATGAAACAGAAACGTCAAATAGTATACAAAATATACATTTTATTTGTTGCATATATTTTAAACATCATCAGGGTCAAAGTAGAAGTAAATTATATCATTAGAATTAAATCTACGTTGCTATCTTAGCTCCTACTGTGGTGTAGAATTCAAGGTTCAATATAGGGTCAAAATTTTGACTTGGAAATGAGTGCCAATATAATCAAAGTAGGTTTCACCTAGATAGTAGATTATCTAAGTAGGCTTAAACTATTTTAAGAACGTTAAGCGTCAAAATTTTGACAAGGTAGAGTTAAAGGTTCAAAAGAGAAGTTAATGAGTATCAATATCGTCACAGTAGGTTTTACCTAGGCTATAAAGCCGTTTAAGTAGGCACAAACTATCCTTAAGAGCGTCAAAGTAGCATCAAAATTTCGACTCGGGAATGCCGCTTGCTCTCCTCGCTCTCGCGAGAGATAAGAGATTCGCGTATGATAAATGTTACCATTGCATTGAAGGTTCAACATTCTTATTTTCTGTAGCTAGGAACCTTGGAAAACCGCCGCCACCGCCGCCATCGTCGTTCATGTTTTGTACACGTCGTTGATCACGATGAGCGATCGTTCGTGCGCGAGCGAAACGGCCGCGTGGCACGTCTTACGAAAATATTTATGGAACGATATCGAACCGAGCGTCGATATTACTTTCAAGATCGACGAAGAAATACCGTCGGAAATATTTCAGCGGCCTCGGATCGCCTCGCGCGCCCCGCGCGTTTATTAAAACCTCTTCTGCGCTTTGCCCGAGTCTCGTTAAAATTTGGCTGAGGGTTCCTCGCTCCGCTGAAGGTATTCGACGATAATTACCGCGCTTTATTCCCCGCGTTTTATTCGTATGTTTTATGTCTACGAGTCTCCTCCGCGAAATTACGAGCTTCTGCTTGCCTTTTTCTCTCATATTTCTCCTTCTCCTTCTCTTCTTTCTCTTTTTCTTCTTCTTCCTCCTCCCCCTCTTCTTTCTCTCTCCTCGTTCTCTTTTTTTTCAGACGCATTTTGGTTAACTGTCACTCGTGTTATTAACTTTGTTCGCGCAACGTCAGTTAAAAGCTATTCCGGGCGTAACCGTCGAATATTCCGCGTCGACAGCTGACAATGGTTCGTTCAACCGCGATACTGTCCTCGTTATTCACGCATCATTTGTCTTGTATCCGCGCTCTGGTCCCTATTATACCGTGCTTGATATACCGTTAGAGACGTCGACGCGTATCGGAGGCGACGCTGTCTATAATACCGACTGTGAGCACGAGAAAGGAACGCGCTAGACTCACGACAAAACAATCAGGCGAAAGTGTCCTTGCGAAACATGCCAGCTCGCGAAATGATCACGTCGAAATGGCGACACCTCGTGACGACGCGTAATGAATCTTGCGAGATGGACAAGCGAAATTTTCTCGGCCGACGATGCGCGATTAATCGAGGAGAATCTTGATGTCAGATCGCGAAATCATTATGGGGAACAAGTCGCGCGACCTTCCTGGCAAATCTCCGGTGAACTTTCCCCTCGCGACGGGACGCGTGATTAGGGAATCGCGATTACTTTCGACAAAGCGTCGAAAGCAATTTAGAAACGCGTGAGTTGATCCGTTCCGGGACAGAAACGCAGTGCGGTCGACGTAATGATGGGCCAAATTTTGTGATAACGATTTTAATGCAATCATTATAATTGTCCACACAGGCTGATGGCATTCATCGCGAGATTAACAAATAACAGGCGTGGTCGAGAATCAACTACCCGCTGCAATTAATTCGACATTCACCGAATTAGGAAACACTCGCACCTTTGATTGCATTTGATTGATTTTCGATGGTAGAACTGTAAAATATTATTCTACCTTGGCTTATTTTAAAGAGAAAGGTTAAACCCACATGAAAAAAATTAACATATTTTTAAATTTAATATTTTCGATAAAATATAGTTATTTAAACTTTTCAAAAAATCAAACTTTTAGTTAACATACTGGCAACGTTCCCTCAGACGTTTCTCCGTTTCGCTCAAGAGATACTTAGCATTTATTGAAGAGAGAATCGCGTTTTGTTGGCAAGTAGACTGTTACTGATAAAAGTTACATAAATGCATAACTGTATTTTTATCACGATAACACGGATGGAATAGCCGATTTTGACCTGCAGTCGAACATATGAATGTATTCAGGAGTTCTTTTTAGTCACAATATCTGAGATCTATCATCTTAAATTTAAATATCCTATTTATAATTAGAAAAAACCCAATCCAATATAAAAACCTAATCCAAATTATTATTCAAATATTATTCATATATAAAAATATGTTTCACGTATAAATTATTTATATTCATAATTATATTCATAAGTATATTTACTAATTTATATTTATAAGTATGTTTTGTTTCATATATAAATTCTTTTCGATTTCATTGTATTTTTAATAGTCCAGAAACAAACTGCTAGTAAGTCTGTCTTGCTAAGGAACATAATAAATTTCGTTAAAGAACAGAGCGAGTGTTTTAACAGCACATTTTAGTTCCTAACCTTTTCGTACCTCCTGCTTTCTCAGGACAGATATATTTCACATTGAAGCGATTATAGAAGTTCTTAGGAGCGCTGATTCCAAATTGAGTAATAAATCTCAATTCAAAATGGCGCCCGTGAAAAGCTTATATATATTTAAATATATGAGCTTGAATTAGATTTTTCCTGATTAAATAAAATGTAAAAGTAATGTCTCAAATTTAAGATAATAGATCTCAGATATTGTGACTAAAAGGAACTCTTGAATACATTCATATGTTCGACTGCAGGCCAAAATCTGCTATTCCGCCTATGCTATCGATAGAGATACAGTTATACATTTATGTAACTTTTATCAGTAACAGTCTACTTGCTAACAACGCGGTCCTCTCTTCTATAAATACTAAGTATGCGTTGAGAAAAGGAAACGTCTGAGAGAACGTTAACTAAAAGTTTGATTTTTTGAAAAGTTTAGATAACTATATTTTATCGAAAATATTAAATTTAAAAATATATTAATTTTTTTCATGTAGATTTAATCTTCCTCTTTTAAACAAGCCAAGGTAGAAATCGACTATTTGTCTTAAAGTTATGTTAAGTACATAAGTAGAATATATGATGTCCTGCAGATATGAAAGGGTTAACAGCATATATTTTAGCTCCTAAACTATAAGTAGCACATATGAAATAAAAGGATAGCGTAGAATGTCGGTCTCCCGAGTCGAAATTTTGACCCTATGTTGAACCTTGAATTCTACACTGCAGTAGGAGCTAAGATAGCAAAGTAGGTTTAATTCTAATGATACAATTTACTCCTACTTTGATCCTGATGATGTCTGAAATTTCCACTTTCGCTTTCTTTAGCGTTAAAGCAGGTTGTATAATAGTAGAATCTTGGGAAGCAAAGTAGATTTGGTTGTGAACCTCTATTGAAGCTTTAGCTCCTACATAAAATATATGTGTTTTATAAAATTCAAGGTTCAACAGAGAGTTAAAATTTCGACTCGGAAATGAGTGTCAGT